AACGACCTGGAGAGTGTTGATGATGTTTGTGATGAACTTCTCGTCGAACTTCTCCTTATCCGAGGGATCGGCAGAGAGGATGTTCTGGGTCTTGTCGCTGGCCAGAACGACATCGGTGACGTTGGGGAAAAGATCGATGTCAAGATCACCCCAGTACTGGGGCTGGACAAGGTTGTAGAAGAGACTCATGGCCTTCTTGCACAACTCGGTGGACGCAGGCGGCATGGCCGGGCCGTTGGTGGCAGCAGAATCCTTCGCCCGGGTAGACGGGAGCTGGTAGCGTTCGTTGAGCTGAGCGATGAACTCAACCAGGTACTTAATCATCTTCTGACGGCCGATAGGCGGGATGAGATACTCTGCTCGCTCTGGGTTCTGTCTAGCTGAAGGAGGAGACGACATGGGCTGGTCGCTGTCCAACTTCCGCTTCCTGGACGTCGGGGACTCGGAGATGGAACGAGAGACTGCATCTCCCTTGCCTTCAACGCGACGTTGTTCCCAGAGCCAAATGAGCCACATCATGTTGAGCGCCAGCTTCTTGGACTCGTTGGAAGGGTTGGGTGGTGCAGCAACCTTGCGCAACGATGAGATGATGAGCATGGCGTACTTGTCTCTCGACTCGTAGAACAGCTCCGGATGCTTAACCAGGAAATGGAAGATACTAGTCATCTGCTGTATATTCTGGCCCTCATCGGCGAGGATCTTCCTAGGAGCCAGCGCCCATCCGGCGTTCCGGTCGTTGGGTTGCGTTCCCAGGCGCTTCGGCAGGACGGGGGCCACCAGCTCCAGAGCCTGAGTGACCAACGCCCTCCCTTCGTTTTGGTTCGTCCTCAGCAGCGAAAGGTATACCTGGGTGACGATCTTGACTGGCGTCTCGTACAAGGCGATGAAGTAGGCGATGACAACGTAAGCAGCGTGCTTGTTGATGACATCATCCAGTCGAATAAAGGTCCAACAACTCTTGATAATGTCTTTCCTCGCTTCCTGGAAAATGACGGAGTGGTACTTCACCAACATGGCCGACAGCTGGAGGACCTCAAACTTAGTGTGGTCGATGCCGGGCTGTGTGAGATCGTCATTGTCATGCTGACTGGTATCCTGGTGCGTCTTCCAAATCTTCGCCGTAACAGCATCGATGATGGTCTTGTCCATGAAGCGGCCTTTGGCCTGCGGCGGCTGGTTCCAGTGTCTTTGAACATCCATGGCGACGATCGGGTTGACGATGTAGTGCAGCAAGAAACACTTCATCTTTTGAGAGACGTTCTTCTGGGGGTAAGCGTCGAGACATCTGAGGACCGTTGCCTTCCAGAATTCAGGCGAGTCGCTGCTGATGACGTTCTTGTAGATGTAGGCGATCAGAGGCTGCGAAGCGCGGAAGTCGTCCGTGGTGACCGAGTCCACCAGGCTGAAGAGAGACTCGAGATCTCTGGGGTTGCGCTCCAAAGACTTGATGAAGATTGACATCAGCTGGTCCGACGCTTGGCAAGCCGGGAGTCTGAGGTTGGGCGCGAGTGTATGAGCCCGCATCTGCTTTTCCAACTCCCTGCCAACCTGCTTCAACCAGTTAAGGTGCTCCTTCTTCTCCAACCAAGTGTCCGTTCCGGGCGACACAGTGAGGGAGTGCAGGATGTGGACGGCATTGACGACTGCAACGAACTTTGTATCCTTGTTCTGCGTAATGGTGGTGTTGCAGAAATCGATCAAAGCCTGGACGTTGGAAGACACCGTTTCTCTAAGCGGACCACTCTCGGGATGGCGGATGACTTGGGACAGGAAGCGTCCATACTTGAGATCGTCAAGCTTAGGCAGGAGGAAGTTCCAAACCTCGTTGGGATACCGGTTGATGAACTTGTACAGGGGCGCGCGGAAAGGACTTTCGTGTGTTCGGCGAAGCTTCTCCTCCAACTCCAGAGCCAGGTCGATGAGACGCTGCTTAAACCCCTCTGCCTGCGGGGGCAAAAGGTGGAAGATGTTAAAGACTGCGGCTACAACCTTCATCTGAGGATGCTGCTCGAAGAAGGTGAAGGAGAGCTGCTGGAGAACGGTAGGATCCGCGAGGACCTTTACATGGTCGAGCAAACGCGCTCCGATCTCGACCTTGAAGTACGTGGTAAGCAGCTTCAAGAGCCGACCAAGGTTGTCAAGACCGTGAGTAGTGAGCTTCTTCGGATCTTGGAGACTGGCAAGCACCGGCCTGAGGCCACCCTGCAGCAAGTCCTTGGGAAGCTTCTGATGGGCCTCGAGAGTGTTCTTAAGCGCGCTGTTGGCTGCGTCGATGGTGGCCTTCGAGTCTGAGTACAGGCACTTGAAGAAGACCGAGACGATCTTGGAACGAGTGGGGTTGCTGCCTTGCTTGAGCGGAGCGAACTCTTCGAAGCTGGTGGCAGTGCTGAGAATGTTGATGCACGCTACTCGGAGGTTGACGATGTATTCGTGCGTCCTAAATTCTCCTGGCTTGTTGGCCAGGGATTCATCACTCGCGTCGGCCAAAGCGAGGGACTCCATGAGCAATCTGGTCAAGTTGTCGTCAAAGGTAACCCATTCCTTTCTTAGAGTCATGTGATAAGTCATCGCGTCAATGTAACCGATCTGGATAGGGAACGGCAGCGCGCGGAGAGGTTTGGAGTAGATGGGCTGAAGGAATCGCTCCTTGTAGGGTTCGATCAGTTCCCAGACCGCGCAGTTGGCGGCCTTGGCAATGAGCTCAAGGGATCGCTTCGCAGTCTCGCGGACGTGGCGGTTCATATGTGCCAGTTCCGTGTTGAACTGCATGCAGATTTGGGGGAGACGAGATCTCTGCTGCGGTGGTTGGCCCGGGGCTTGTTGGGGCAACGCATCCTCCTTCTTGATGTTCTTCGTGATCCTCTGCAGCAAGGTCTCCAGGGTGACCTGAGCAGATCTTCTAGTCTTCTCCGGGAGGTCCTGGGGCATGTCCTTGATGACGTACATGAGCGACCGAATGAATTCAATCTGCTTGCTCGTGATCCATTGGTCGCCCAGATCCAGCTCAGTGAGCAGGAAGTTGATGCCGAGCGAGCCACCAGTCTTGGTGAACCATTCCTCTTCGTAGCAGCCGTGGCAGAAGGTCGCGCTCAGGTTGTTGAAGAAAGGCAGCCTGGCGACGCTCTGCTGAGACCCAAAGATTGTAGCGGCAGAGTCGTACACCTCGCGGATTGCGCGTTGCGCAGACTCTCGAACCTCTGGGTGATCCGAAGCCAACGATTCCACAATAGCATCAGAGAGTACCCGGGTATCAATAAAGAGTGGGCCCTCTCCGGCGTTAGGGTCGAACGGGCTGTAGTTTCGCTTGACGTCGATCAAGGCCCGGCCAACCTCAATGATTGTAAAGTGTTTGCAGAGGTTCATGAGGAACGCCTGTGCGTCTTCCTTGAACTCTGGCAAGGATTCGGCAAACATGACTGCCTTCAACAAACGTCGAACGAGATCGTCCTGCTCGTCCTTCTTGGGAATGGATCGCTCCTTGTCAGACGTCTCAAACGCAGAAAAGTCAAAGTCGATCTTTCTGCTGATGAGGTCCTGAGCCTGGAGACGCAAGAGCCTTGGAAGGTCGTCGGGCAGGTTCTCGAAGCCAATTCGCATCTTGAGCTGCGACTTGATGAAGTTGAAGGACTGCTTCTTGTAGTATCCGTCGTACTGCCGAGACTGGTTGCCCTTAGTGCCCTTTGGCTGCTCCATGAGCTTCCTGATGGCCATGTCGACGCCCGTCTCTGCCGGGAAGGCCCTGTCCCTCTTGGAGCCGATGAGTCGGAGATCAAAGCTGGTCGGGTCGTCGGCGTACTCCTTGTAAGTAAGAGGTTGCGCGTCGGTCATGAACTTCCGATTCCGGCCTCCAAGCTTTCCCAGAATGCGCATCGTCGTGTGAGCATGGAAGTGGCTGTAGGGGTGTGGCTTGAGGTGGTCGAACAACGCCGTCATCAACTCGTCGATCACAGGAGCCATGATGGGATCAAGATAGTCCGCGGTAAGGTTATCAACACAAAGCTCCAGAGTCCTCAGGCCTTGACCAACAAGATCTGTGCCAGCTCGCAGAGCGACAACCAAGGGCCGCATGAGGAAGCTGAGATGGGGGAGCAGGTTGCTAAGTCGTGCGGGCACCGTCAGGCACAGCTCCACGTAGAGATCTCGCTCGGCGGGCTTCCTTGCTGCCATGAGCAGGTTGTTGAGGACATCCAGCAGCATTTCAAGCAGAGGGAGAATCTGCTTGTAGAGATGCTCGAACTTGCCGCCACCGATGCTCCTGAACAGCGATCGCAAGAGCAGGAAGTAGTTCATGGGCTCCTCAGCCTTAGTTGACAGCTCAATCGACTTGGTGACAATGTCCACAACGTGAGGAAGCAACACCTGCTCGTTTTGGTTTGCGAAAAGCGTGACCGCCATGAAAGCCAACTTGAAAAGCCTCAGGAGAATCGATGACTTTTTCACGTCCGCCGAACCGACTTGGTCGATTCTCTCCATCAAGAAGCGCAGAAGCATACCGCAAAAGCTAGGTGAAGTAGCCTCGCTAGCGAGGAAAAACTGAGGGATGTGAAGCAAGGCGGTATGCTCAAAGATCATTTCGTACAAATGAGGAATCTCCTGCTGGAAGACTTCGTGGAAAGTCGCTGGGTCGATGCAATGGAAGACAGTGGCAAACGTCTCGAGGAGATCCTTCTCCTCCTTGCTACTAGACACCATGTAGAAGTTGGCCATATACTCCACAGGAGACATGTACTGGGACTCAGTAGCCGGCTTTTCGATTTCGTAGTAGCGGAACACGTAAGCGCCCTCTCTGAACAGCTTCACCACGACATTAACCTCCTCGGCGGTGAAGCCATAGGCGACATCCTGCCAGTGCGCTGGAGCATTCTGCACGTCGATGACGTTGTTGACATTGCATGTCCTCAACTGGTAGAAGGTATTCTTGAGACCATTCATCAGGTTCTTGAACAAAAACTTGTTGTCCACAACGGGGTCCGCGCCTCTGTCCCTTGGGTTTGATGTCTTTATGGGCATAGCAGTGAAAATATCTGTCTCGTCCCAGTCAGGGGGTGGTCCTTATCCGCAAGGTAGCTGTCCTGGGTTCCGTCAGCGATTTGCTGGGCGTAGAGTCTCGAAAGCTTCACTGCATTAGGGTATTGTCGGTTCATGGCCACGAACTTGTCGCCGATAGCGTTGAGGATCATGATGAGGTAGTGCCGTGCGTCGACCTTGTTGGGCATCTTGGCGATGCATTCCGCCATATTCAGGAGCAGCTTCGCACTCATGGTCTGGAAGCTCGTGCCCGGGAAATTGTCTTGGAGGTTTTTCGTGTAGACCTCGACTGTCTTGCGGATCTGTTCCGGGGTGAGACTGTCGCGAACGTGGTGAATCAGATCGGCAAGCATGCTATATGCCAACGGCCTCATCGTCTCGTAGACGGTCAGTCCGTCGCCAATCAATGTCTTCTCGTCCAAGAGCTCGTCAATCTTGGGCAAGAAGATCTTGCGGAAGTTGAAGTTGATAATGTGCCTTATCGCCACAAGCAACTCCTTCCGTGCGCTGGACTTTTCTCTAGGGCAGTCCTGCAAGAGTCGTACCACGATCTCGGGAAGGGTCGGCAGGAAATCGGTCAGCTGTTGCGAGTACTGACGCAGCAGGTAGGCCAAGAAGCTCATCGTCTTGACTTGAGCTGTGATGAACTCCCCAAAGGCAGCACGATTCTTGATCAACGGGCTCACTCCGGTAAAGATCTGTCCTTTGGCCTTGGCATCGGCATGGGCCTGCTTCTGCGCGCTTGCCTGGAGGCAGAGGAATCCCTTGATCAGAGGAACAAAGGCCTTGACGTTGGCAGCAACTGTGTTCCGGTAGACCTGGAAGACGGAGACCACGATGATGGGGCACTCCGACAGGACCTTGAAGGACTGCATCCCCTTCAGCAGGAGCCTGTTCTGTTGCTGTGGATCCGGGCCGAGATCTGTGACCGAGGCAACGGGCGAACCGGGACGAGGCGACTGGAAGTTCGTCTGGGAGCTGCCTGGCGTTGATGGGGCGCCAGAGTTGGATGCGGTCGAAATGGATGTGTTGTCCAGCTGCTCGCGCACGACCTTCTCCATCTGCTCGAAGAGCTCCTGGATCAGGCTGAGGAAGGCCTGGACCTTGCTGCCCAGCACCTTGTGTTGATGTCGCATGACATCAGAAATGATTTTGACGCATAGTGTCGCGTTCTCTTCATTGTCCGTCCGGACCAGCTGCATCAGCAAGTCGACAACCTCCTCGGCGTACGGTTCGAATGGTTCGGTCGGGGACGGCGTCGTTGGCAGTCGATGCAGGACCTCTAAGATGCAGTTTCGTAGTTTCTTTGAATCATGTCAGCGGCGCTCGATCGGGTTTGATGCGGGGCAGCTCACCTGCTCCGGGGAGTTGCTCTGGAAGATGCATGGTCCTCGGAGGATGGCGATGAATATCGGCACCAATCGCTTCAGGAAGGGGGGTATATGGGACCGGCCGTGTAGTGGTCTAAGCTGTCGCGCAAGGTAGTCGCCGCCTCTACCTTGACTCTCGCATCTGTAACACCGGCACATGTCAGCAAAGTCATGATGGACGAGATGCGCATCCACCCCGGCGGGGTCCCGGGATGTCGAGGAATCGCATCGCACGAGGGGTCGTATCGTACCCGTTTCCGGACTGCTGAGTCGCTTCACGACGTCGTCAATTGTCGTTCCCGACATCGCGGCGTCAATGGCCCCTTGGGGACGCGTGATTCGTTCCCATGCGTGGGAGGACAGGGTATCGTAGGTTGGTGCAATTCGCAACGAGGCTGGAATACGGAGATGCGCGCGCGCGTCGGAGCTGGAGGGGTATCTTGTAGATGAAGGAAGAAAAATCGCTGTTTATGAAAACGAATTGGGAATCTCGAAGGTAATTTTGCTATTAGAATTGCCTTCGCGAATGTCTTGGGCGGGTGGTGACCAGGGTTTCTTCCCAGTGGCTCAAGATCGCGCGGCTCGACTTAATGGATTTCAGGCCCAGGCTCGACGTGAACTTTCAAATTTCCCAAAGGCAGTCGCGAAGCTGGGGGGAGCAGCCGCCAATTCATTTAGCGCTAGGACATTGAAGAACATTGATCCGGCACTAGTGACCCACTCGGAGAGCGCCCGGGCCGCGATAGCCTGCTTATCGGCTTGCTGGTATCTGGGGAAAGCTCTTATCGCCGGGGCCGTAATTATGGTGGAGGCCGGTGGCTCGGGGGTGGGCCGGCATCGCACTTCTCACTTCAGTCACTTGTTCAACTTCACCTTCCTTCATTCTGTGTGGTTTTCTGATCATTTGAGAAGTAATAAACAACGAGCGTTTGTCTTTGAGGTTATCAGACACCTCCACCAGCATACAGAGCTGCTGTTTCGTCTTGCCTTTTTACACTTTCTACGTCAACTCACTGTCCCGCTTGACGTGGTATACAGAAAGATACCACCAGATCTCAGTAGGCGCCGGTGAGTAAACACCATATTTTAGAGTCTACATCATTTAGTACAGGAAGAGAGTTGTGTTTCAACGATCTGTTCCACAAACACACAAGCTCGGTGCGTTATTTTTGGAGGTCAGCCAACTCACAAGCATCACAGTATCACAGCCTAGTGTATCACGACAGCCCAACACCGTCAATATGAGTGGACCGCACACTGCCTTCTTCTACGGTAGGCTCCCAGTGTTTCTCTGCATATCAATAACTAACGGTCATGCATAGGCACCTTGGTTAGTGAATCATGGCGTCGACAAGTCGAGTGTGACGTTCACTAACACCACCCCCAGATGGAGCCAAAGGTCTTCTTCACCGTAGTGCAAGGCAACGGCAACCCGCCCCAGGCCATCAAGAACCTCTACACCTTCACTCCGGCCGTGCTGACCGGCTTCACGCGCCACCGCGTCCAGTTCGCCGACTACCCCGGCATGATCCCCGATGACGGCGGTTCCGTGCTCGGCATCTACGCGACGGGCCTCACGGACGCCAACGTCAGCAAGCTCGACTTTTTCGAGGGCTCCGAGTACGAGAAGAGGATCGTCAAGGTCAAGGTCCGGGGTGGTGTGGACGGCGGCGAGGACGAGGAGGAGAAGGAGGCCACGGCCTACATCTACAAGCGCCCAGAATTCCTGGAGCGCCGGGAGTGGTCGTTTGACGAGTTCCGCAAGGAAAAGATGCACGTCTGGACGCGCGAGAGCTACGTCTTTGAGGGTGAGACGTCCCCCCTTCGCCAAATGGACGTGATGACGGGGCAAAGCCGGCGCTTCTGGGTCATGCCGTTGCTAACATGTGGATAACCGCCTCCAGGCTGCGATGACTTTGCGGAATTTGAGAAGATCGAGCACGAGGACGCCAAGGGCCACGACGAGAAGGACGATGCGGTCAAGCAAGGCGGTGCCTAGACCAGGAAACCCGTGGCAGCATGCCTTTTCTCTTTTCTTGTATGGCGGCAAACGGCATTATTTGATGGGCTCCCACGTCAGGCGGCTGACGCAGGTCTGCGACTGGGCCCCTTTGGGCGGTGTGAGGCGGACAAGTCAGCAACGGCTCACGGCATTGGAGAGAAAAGGTGCCACCGCCCACATGACAACAAGACACAACAATTACGATGCCCATGGATAGATGAAACAAGGACGTGATGACAGCAAATAGAACATGATGTTTACCAGTCATGCCCCGACGACTGCCGCCAGCCTTGGCCCGCAGGACTGCAGCACGGCCGCCCCCCCTGGAAGCGACGAGCTGAGTGATGTGATGTCGTCGTTGTCGTCATGGCCCGGCCGAATTCGGGCGGCAATGCGACCATTCAAGGGCAGATTCATCAATCTGTGAAGCAGCCCTGGCGATATTGGCGGCAATCAAGGTCAAGGTCGGACTAATACTCGCTGGCCAGACAGAAGGCTTTACGGGGTTCACGCTTATGCAAGCCTCTTGAGTGACATGCAAGCTGGATCCTGTCGAGCGGCTGAAATCATGCCATAGCGAACGAGCCACAACACTTACAGACCACTAGCTCCAGAACAGACGCTGGCGCGCTGTAAAGGCCAAACGGCGTGTAAAGTGCCGCCTCGTGAACAATGCTGCCCCACATTCTAGCCACTGGGAGAGCCGGGAATGCCGGTCGCGGCTGACTCTGCAACGCGGGATTCCAGCTGGGCAGGGATGCTGTGAGAGGCATCCGATGATGAATGAGAAAGAACCATTATCGATCCTATCTGTTTTACCTGTAGTTGTGTGGCACAAAATGAGGCGAACTGTCCGAGAGCACGGATATGCGGTGCCACGTACCGCAAGCTGTCCCTCTCGGGTAGCACGAAGAATTAGCCACATGGAATACGAGATCTGTGGCTCCGACAGGCGAAGGAGGGCAGGGAAGCCACACAGAGCCACAGGCGTTGCCTGTAAAGTGGCCCCGAACAGGGGCGCATGGGCGCGATTGCGGTGGCGTCGCCCTGGAATACATAGTGATCCGATCTTCTTGTGGCTCAGAGGCGATCTTTCATGCTCAGAAGCTGAAAACGGTGTTCGCTGGGGGCCCCCTCGAGATTAATATGTGCTGATACCCTTGACTTTAGTCGACGGCGACTGGGCTGCTAGAAAAGAGTAGAGTAAGGTGTTAGCGAGGGGCGAGCTTGTGGGAATTAGTCTGTCGAAGCCACACTGGGGCATTCATGCGCACCGCGGGACGGCGTCGTTTCGTAGCTGGTACAGCACTGGGCTGTGTACGCTGGTGGTTGATCAGTGTCGCAAGTACGAGACTCGGTTCTGCTAGATCGTCCGAACATGTGTGAGAAGACAAACGGCGCTGACCCCAAAGTGCCTCCCTTCGCAGAGTTAGCACCTTCCCCCCCCTCGGATCTTCTGCCAAAACGGCGCTCACCGAGCCAGGCTCAAATGCCCTGTGCCCAACCAGCTGCGATGTTCAGGGGAGGCAGCAACACGGTCGTGGACGGGCCAGAGGAAAGAAGGCAGAGGGAGGCATTTGTCGAAAATGTTCGGACGACACAAGCCTCGACCAGGGCAGGCAGATGAAGATGTGCATGGGCAGGGAAGTGGTGTACGTACAGCACACTAGTGTACTGTGCCGCGCGCAGCTCCCGATGAAGCAGCCAAACGACGACAACGAACGAGTTTCGTCTCCTTCTGCGATGAGCCTCTTCTTCCGCGAGCCCTGTCAGTGTTGTATCCACTCGGCCGTGGAGTTCGGGCCTTAACCATCCGGGAATTGGATAGTGGGCACGGGGTGGCGATCACCCAACGTGGCAGTGGAAGACAGCCGGTGGAATGTCCCACCACGGTCGGGCAAAGGCCGGGGCGACTAGGCCGGCAGGGTTCAGGTCGATGTGCTTGGGTGCTTCGGGTCTTGGGGGGGACGAACGTGCCAGAGTAACAACGGGACGACGGGCTGCATCGTTGGCTGCAGAGGGCACAGCTGACGAGGGGTGAAGCCCGAGGGCTTTGGCGCACTCGTCGTCGTCGTTGTCGTCGTAGTCGTCGTCGCGTCGTCCGGTCATCGTCAAACGACAGGCCGACGTCAAGGCAACCCGGCGCGCGAAAGAAAAAAAAAGAAGAAAAAAGGGAACAGCTGACAGGCCGTGACAGGTTCTCAGCAAACGACGTTCGTTGTTCGTTTCCAGAGCGCTTACCCCAAACGCGAAGGGGGTCGTTGTGACGACGTCGGGTTCCTTGGTCGACAAAGGGAAAAAACGACTGGCCCCGGCGAGCCTGGCTTGAATCGCATCTCCTCTCCCTCGCACTCGCATTGGCCATGCATGCGATGCCACCTGGTGTCGAGCCCTCTCCGCTTCCCGCTCTCCCGCGCGATGTGAAATGTTGCCTGAAGAAACAAACGGTCAAAAAAGCTTAGCTGGCAATAGCCAGGAACCATATGGTCCCTTCGCATTCCCACCGTCGGTCGTCAACTGTGCGATGTGACAGTGGATTGATTCGCTGTCAGTGGTTCACAGGCTGGGAGCTCAATGTCCGAAAGGAGACGGACTTGGGGTGTCGTGAAACTGGGCTCGTTTCACATCCTCGCTTCTACGCAGGGGGGCTGGGCTCCAGCAGTGTCACCTGTCCCCCGAGAAGGAGACGAATGGCCCCCAAGACCCTGTGTGCGCTACAACGTAGCATGTGCCACGAGCCGTGAGCCATTAGCCTACCTAGGGACTTCGACCGCGATTGACGAAGGACGAAGGATGTGGAAAAGGCCTCAATTGTGTGGACATGAGGGCTCCTAGCCGGGGGTTGTGATGCCCCCTGGCAAGCGAGGATTATAATCCCCTGTCGACGCCGTGTCGGTGGTCTTTGCCCCTGCACTTGCGCAGGAGGATCTGCTCAAATGCCCCTCTCCGATTTAGCGGGGAACCAGATGGGCAGGTCGTGATGTTCAGGGGGTTCTGTGGCCTGTACGATAGGTATAGGTAGTGTAGGTACTACCGGTAGGTATGTATGTACGTCAACCTGGAAGGTCTCGGTACTGGAAGTCGAAAAGAAAAATGTGGAAGACGACATGAATGAGTGGCTGCCGCAAGCCCCGCGCTCACTGTTCCTTCTTTCTTGGTTTTTTTTTCCCCTGATATCGGTGGAGAGCGGCTGGTCGCCGTCGGTTTTTTTCTTCTTTTTTTCATTTTTTCAACGTTGAGCACGCCTCTTAGCTGTACCCATTCAAACGTCTTTGCACTACGTACGGTACACATACCTTGTTTGTACCTCGGCGTCCCCACTACTGGGCCAACAACTCAGGCAGAAAGTACACTGCCACCGCGAATTGGCCGGGAAGCGACTTTCATGTATGACGTGGAAAGAGAGACATGTGGGCAAGCAGCCGCAGTCCACGGCTGCGCAGTTATACACTACCTACACTACAGTGATGCTCCCACTTTCCTGTCCTTGATCCGTAGGCAATACCCCACTCAACTCTACCCTAGAAATGGCCATGCTGGCGTTGCATAGCCCAAGGGCCAGGGCGCGGGAATACCGAGGTCGACCAAGAGCACACGGAGCTGGTCAACCGAAAACTCAACTCAGTCTCTATTTTTTTCTCGACGGGGATGACCCATAACTGACTCGGGACAATCACGTCGATCAACGTGCCTCTCTGTCCATATTGAGGCTTGGCTTAGTTTGTTCTGACAATGCGCACAATGGGTGGAGGGATGGAGCCTGGCTGGCACGCACTACCTACGCACACGACATTCATTCCCTTTGCGTGTCTCTCTTGCACGGCGCGCCAGTTGTCTCTCGGTGTATCGGTGAGTTGGGAGTTGGGAGTTGGGTGGGCGGAAAGAGGTGGGCGCCCGTGCCAACGTTTCTGCGTTACAGTCTCACCGGTTCCAGATGCCCGTTTCCATGTCTCGTTTTCGGCTTGACTGGAACACTTTGTCGCCTGGTTCTGTTGTTTCTTCACTCGACCCATTCCGACAAACGGTGCGGACCGTGGACTGATGGCTGGTCCCAAAAGTTCTTGTCTTGGCCTGAGGTCGAGTCCCCGCCCAGTTCACCGTCTGGGAACAGGAATGCCGTCGAACTCACTCGACGAACCAGTCACTGGACATCGTCTGCCCCTTTCTTCCTCTTTTGTGCCCCTTGCTCATCAGGTTCCTTGCCGAAAGCAGTGGGTGGTTTAGCGACTCTTGCTTTCCGCCCGCCAGTCCCGATCCCTGACCCTGGGATTTTCTTCCCTCCTCGACTTCGTGCCCCCATCACCCGCGTTGTGCGTGCGCAGCTCCCGTTGGACAGGAGGGGCTCGCAGCGCGACAGCGGCGGCGACACCATCGAAGGCCAGTCCCCAGTCGTTGCCGGGTCTTGTGCCCCCTTGCCCCTCTTTGGCGTTAGTCTCCATCAGGAATGACTCCCATCGACCCCTGCGCACCCAAGTCGTCGACAGGGGGCACTCTGTCCCACACGACACGAACAACTGGAGATTTCACGAGGTGAGCGTCCGAAAAGGGTTCTCTGGGTCCCAGTAGCCAATGTGGTGAGGCAAGTTTGCGCCGCATCGTGACGTATCTTTTGCGAGGGTATGCTAGGGATCTGAGTGGCCGCCACCAAGGCGTTGGGTGAGCGAGGCCGCAGGAGCTGGCCGCTGGATCACCACCCAGTCTCCGAATCCAAGGTTCGGCATGTCCTGATTGGAGGCCGCCTGTTGCCAAAATGGGCGACGGTCTGGATCGGACTGGACTGGACTGCATTGATTCCGAAAGGGCTCTTCGCCTTCTGGCGATCTGACTCCAGCCCAGTCAGTGCATACGGTCCAGCTGCCGAGGGCACCCAGTCAGCAACGAGCCGCCGTGTTGCTGTCTGTTCGCTGCCAGAAAATGTAATAATCGCTGCGAGGTAAATCGCCCATTACGCGTCCGCTGTGCGGGATGACTGCAGCGCCAGAGCCCCTTCTATTCTAGACTCGAGCCGTCGGAGAGGGTGGCATGCGTACACTAAGATAGTATGGATGAATGCTTTTAGCAATGACGGGAACCAAGAACACCAGGTGGCTCAGGGCAACGCTGCCATGCATGTACTGCAACTTGGGGTGGGGGGATGGATGCCCGTCAACCGTTTCTAACTCTCAACAGTACTGCCACTACTACTGCATGCTGTGATCATTGTAGAGATGGTGCCTTGCAGTAGTTGCCGCCATTTTGGTGCTTCTCCTGTCTTGGAAGCTGCACCTTCAGCGCTTCAGTGTTCCTACCATCGTTCTAAAGCAACTAGAGGCTGCTATCAAACCACCAAAAGGAACCACATGGTTGCACACATCCTACGTACCTCTCCCGTCCCCCCCCCCCCCCCCCCCCCTTTCCCGACTGAGATGCACAGCACGCCGACTAGCCTGCGCCCGCGCGGTACGTACCGAAAGCCAAGCATATCCTCTTCTTCTCCTCCGTTAGCGTGCACAGAGCAGCCAATGGGACCTCGTTCCTGGACGGGAAAGGGAAGAGTACGTATCTCGTTGTCTGGTGGGGCTCGAAAGTCCAGAATCCACAATGTGCACCCATGCTCCTTGCTTTCTAGCTTCCTGCTCCCTGTCCCCTGTCCCGGACCTCCCCTCCACCCCCCTAGTCTACCTTGGTGCCTGTCTCCTCGGTGTCACTTGTCTCTCTTCCCACATCGTCCCAGCCATTCAGCCCTCTCCATCAACGACAGCTTGGAAAATTCCTCACCAATCCCTCCCTATACTCCCTATACCACTTTTGACGCTGGTCCATAGACACGCACGAGAACACCCTCCCTTCTCCCCCGCCTTTGGCTGTCCTTGGCTCCTCCTTAGACAAGTTTAGTCAGGGGCATTCCGTCTCTCGAAAAGCACGCAGCGCAACGCACCATGCGCGCCTTGCTGCAAGGTCCCCGTCCCTACATGCCCACACACCCACACACACACACACACACTCACTCACTCACTCACGTCCATCTATCCCCCAAGGACCTGGCATGGTCTTACCGTCTTAGTCGCTACCGCGAGGTCTTAGTCAAAGTTGACAGGCAGACAGCAGCCCAGCTCCAGGTGCTCCATGGTCCATGGTCCACGGTCCATGGCTCCCCCTTCCATCTTTTCCCACCCCTGCCCACCCACAAGAATGTTTAGTCCGGTCTTTTTTGTGCCGTGTCGAAACAAGCCGAGGGGCACGTCTCCGGCCTATCATAGTCTCAAGTCTATGCTTCTCCATCTTCAACGGCCTGCCCCTGTCCCTCTCGGTCGATCCACCATGCCTCGAATCCCCTTGGGCTGATGCCCATGCCCGGTCTTGACTGGTCCATAGCCTCAACGCCTGTCTAAAAAGAACGCCATGTCTCTCCCGTCCCAAGTGGACCGATCTATCCAGCTCTCCATCCTCCGGTCCGACCTCCAGTCCATCGTTCTCCAGTCGTTCTGGGATTACCGCCGTTCTCTGCAGCCGTGCTTATTGCTTTTTGCCTCTCCTTTTCCGTATTCATCTCTAGTCGCTCTCTAAGCTCGGCATATTCTGCCCGTGGGCCCTGTCTGTCACTACTTTCGATCCCATCACATTCTTTGGCCTGTCTTGGGTATTATAAGACCCGGCCTCGTCCAACCTCACAATCCCATTCTACTCCCCATCCTCTCGGACCATCACGTCTTCTCACATTCCTTCAGTGAGCTTGAAAGAGTTTGTCTCTTCGACATCTTACCTTCTCTCATCTCTCATTCAACAAGGCTAGTCCTTAGTTCTTTTTTCAAAAACTTCCACTCCAACTCGCCTGGTGCACTTCCATCCTTTTCGGAACAAACGAACAACACAACGAATCTTCGAGACCTATCGACTATCCGATTCTCAACCTTCTCTCCAAACTCTTTATTGAAACAGCCCCGCCACGTCCAAGCTCACCAGCAGACAAAGCGAGAAGACACTGTAAGTACATGGAATGTTACAGCAGAGGGGACGGCACGCGGTCCTGGGCACCTAGCCCCGCTTCCGTGCCATTGTTCAACATCGCGGGCCCCATCGTATCACACACAATGCCATTCTTCGGCGGACTGGTCACACCGGGCTTGTTACCGTTGTGGCTGGTCGCTTCGAGTCGGGCCTGTTGAGGAACGAATGCGCTGTCGTCGAGAAGATGCTGGGTCATGTCAAGAACCAAGTCGAGTTGAAGACTAACGTGGTTAAAAGGTGTCATTCAAACCATTCTTCGGAAAAACATTCAACTTACAGTCACAACGACACCGACACGATACTGAGATTCTACGTCCGGAACGTTTAGATTCTCATTTCACAACCCAACCAACAATACCCACGACAAACTCAAGATGTACACCAAAGCAATCATTGCCTTCGGCCTGGCCACTGTTGCCAGCGCCCACATGAAGATGAGCTCGCCTGTGCCTTACGATGCTGCCAACTTGGACAACAGCCCTCTTCTGGCAAACGGTGCGAATTTCCCCTGCAAGTCTAGCAGTTACAACGCCGCTGGTGCTTCCAACGTCTACGCTCAGGGTGCCACCGGTGAGCTTGCGTTCATCGGCTCCGCTGTCCACGGCGGTGGATCTTGCCAGGTTTCCATCACCTACGACGCCAAGCCCGACAAGAACAGCGTCTGGAAGGTCATCAAGTCCATCGAGGGTGGTTGCCCTGCCAAGAACGCCGCTGGCAACCTCGGCGACAACGCCAACCAAATCAACGCGGACAAGTACGACTTCACCATCCCTGAAGACATGCCTGCCGGTAACGGCACCATTGCTTGGACCTGGTTCAACAAGGTCGGCAACCGCGAGATGTACATGAACTGCGGACCTGTCACCATCACCGGATCCGAGGGCTCCAAGGAGGCTTACAACGCCCTCCCTGACATGTTCGTTGCTAACATCGGCAACTGCGAAACCGTGGAGGGCACCGATGTCCAGTTCCCCAACCCCGGCACCTCTGTTGACAAGTTTGGCGACGCCTCGGTTCTCAAGGCTCCCCCGGCTGCATGTGGCGGTGGCTCTGGCAGTGGCTCTGGCTCTCCCGCTCCTACAAGCACCGCAGCTAATGGTGGTGCCACCACTGCCGCTCCCACCTCCGCCCCGGCCTCTTCCAAGCCTACTGCCAGCGCCGCTATCCCCGGTGGTGTCTTCATCACCGTCCCTGCTAACAACGGTGGCGTTTCCGCGACTCCTACCGCCTCTGCCTCCAAGGCACCTGCGGTCACCCCCAGCGCTGCCCCAGCGCTGCTCCCTCCGCTGCCCCCTCCGCCGCCCCTTCTTCCGGCACTGGCAGCGGCTCTGGCAACGGCACTGAGACCCCTTCGACCGGCGCTGGTGCCCAGACTGTTGGCTCTGCCTGCACGGATGAGGGAGCGTGGAACTGTGTCGGTGGCAGCTCCTTTCAGCGTTGCGCCAGCGGCACTTGGTCAGCTGTCCAGCAGCTTGCCGGCGGTACCTCCTGCTCCGCCGGTATGGGCTCCAACCTCAACATGGTTGTGACCCGAAATGGTCGCAAGCGCGCTCTGCGCCAGCGCTCCCTTCGCTTCCGTTCCGCCTAAGCTGGTTGATGGCGAACACTTTTATGAACGGCTTGGCATTACGGGATATGATACCTCGGGGCACATTGGATAAAAATTAGCGATCGACATACATGTTACGGCACAAAGATCTGCGGCGTTTGTTTTCTTCGGACATTTTCTACCATTTTTCTGTACATACACTTTTGCATGCCCCAAGAGGGCTTAGATGCTTGTATCTGCTATCATGAGCAAGAAGCGTGACATCAATAGCATAACCATCACCAAATCCTCCATTCCATATGCACCATGTGACACGACGTGATGAACCGAGCTGTTCCCTGGAAAACTACTGAACTTTACTTCACACAAGCTGAGCTCACTCAGCTTCCATGCACACTTATATCGAAGCTCCAAAACTCGTCTTATGCCAAAGTGCACAATGTCAGCCAGTAACAGGACAGAGCTCACAATTCGATGTGGCCATTCTAACATCTCCATATTGATGTCTTGCAGGGGCGTCCCTGGGATTGAGCCAAGGACTGCGTGGAGCCGAAAGGGACCGAGAGTTTGACATAACTTAAACCTTCGTGTACAGCAACGTCAAAGGCACGCATACCGGTACTCGGCAGGACATTTCGATTTCGGAGGGGTGTGCTGTCGAATGGGAGCTGTTCCCTGTCGAGCTGAATGGCTGACACATGCCACTTTGGACGGAAGGGTACGCATGGACGCAGCCGACACAGTCAAGGAAACACGTTTGGGGGGGGATGGATACGCTGAAGAAGTCTATTTGTGTTTGATTTTATGTTTCTTGCCAAGGAAGCTGACTCGAGACGCGTGTTGTACCGTTGAGCGCTCGTTTCCGCACCTGATGACGAGTCGCGCGTAGTGGAATAGTTGCAATGGTATGCGGCCGTCGCCATGTCGTATGACGACCCCTTATGATCCGAACGCCAGGCGTAATTGGAACCGAGAAAGTTTTGGTAGCCGTCGAATTTTCGTCCAGCGTCGCTCGCAATGGTCTTCCTATAACCATGTATCGCCTCTTCCCTCTTTCTTCCCTCGGCCCAACACACGCCTCAGCAGCCCCGTCTTCGGTTCGGTATCCCCTTTCCTCAACGCCGACAGTTTCACCGGCACCACGTACGGGTCCATCTCGATGCCCACGTGTGCGCGTCCATCGTCGCCGACGTACCGACCGAAACTGAATGTCGGCGCCTTCCTGAGCCCGCTGTGGTTGTTCTTGCTGCCCTTCTTATAACCTTTGCTGCCGTTTTCGGTGCTGTTGGTGTTGTCAGGCCACTCGTACTCACGGACGGCCCTGCTGGGCGCGAGGTAGGCAAGAATCGATCCGATCGTCGTCGGCATGCGCGGCAGGAAGTGCTTTATGGTGAAGCCATAGAGGACGATGGCGACGGCGATGTTGAGAGCGAGCACGGAAAGGCTAATGGCAAGGGCGGTATTGTCCATGAATATTCGGGTTTCGGTTTGACGCTCGTTGCCGGTGATCGTGATCGGTTCCGTAAAGTTGTCGAAGAAGCCGGGGTTCAGACTGAGGAGGAGGGCGAAGAGCTGGCGGTAGATATAGTCGACAGCCGGGATGATGGCCGTAGTGTTCGGCGTCGTCAGCGGGTCGAGCACGTCGCTTAGTCCGGGCTGGATCTTGATCAAGTAATTCATCCAGTCGCTTGATAGCGTGTCGTTGTGCCAGGGGAAGGATGCGCCCGGCATCAAGTTGTTAAGGTATATTATTATCGCGTCTGTATTGTTCTGTGAAGTTGGCGATTCGAGTGTGGACGACGGCTCGGATACTTGCGTGGTGTTGAGGACGTAGCCCCGCGAGTCTACGGTGACATCAAACATGCTGTTGGTGAACTCGGGCGTGCAAACAATGAATTGTGTGTCCATCTCGCCGTCTACCTTGTTCAAACCATTCGGAGTTCTGGCCCAAGAAAGATATAGGGGGACAGAGCAAGTCCCATATCCGGTTGTGCTAAGATATGACACGCCCTCGGCGGCGGATGGCCCGGAGGGCTGCTTATCGTAGGTTACGTTGAGTTTCAAATCATCCGCTTGAAATGTTGTCGGGCAATTGAGTACTTCACCATCGCGGGTGTAGGTATAATTCAAGACGGGGGGTCTCCCACGGCTTTTGACGATGCCGGCATCGAAACAAGAGGGAATAATACCGAATCCCCTAGTACGAGCTGTGTAAGCCTCGCCTTTCTCGTTGCCCGCGCGACTCAGTGCGAACGGCTGGAAGAAATAGTCCTTGGTCACCCAGGGAGGTAGAGGAGTGCCCTGCGTGATGTTGTTCATTGCGATGTAGAAATGCATCTCGTATGAGATGACGTTTCCAAGGAATGTATTGTAGTTATCTCTGCTCAGTACCGAATTATTGTTGAGCGTCGGCCTCATTGTCTGCTGGAATTCACAAGTGTTATTGACAAGAACAGGAAGTTCGTTGAAGAGACCACCGAGGCCAATCGCAAGCAGATTCGAAAGAAGGGCAAGCAGACAGATTGCCACCAGGACGAAGTGGCCAGACTTGAACGCCCTCCAAACTACCAACTGAGGAGGCAGGGAGGTATATCTTGCGTCGATAGAACCGCCAGCAGCTCGTCGGCCGGTCCACAGATCCTTAAAGGGCTGTATAATGCATAGCAGCCTGTTGACGAGCACCCAGAACGGCTCCAGAAACGTCGCAAATAATGTTGGGACGTAATTTTCGAGAATCTGAAGAAGCTCAAAATCTGTAGTCGGCCTTATGAGCCCTACGAACTGGTTAGTCATCTCTTGTCATCGACCAACTGACATTCTTACCTCCAATGCGCTGCTCCTCCCACTTCAAGTAGACAAGCGCAACGGCTGCTCCTATCATGGAGAGTATCACGGCTGCGCCGACAGCCCTTCGCAGGGCCAACGGTTTAACGGGCGAATAGTGGCCAACGGATAGTGCGGGATCCGGCTCGATGCTGAAACGCTGGCTTTCGTAAAACTCCTCTCGGGTGTCGACAATTTTGATGGTCATCTGCCCCGAATGGCTCTGACAGCCGCAGAATAGTTGGAACCTCTTGTCCTGAAATGCTTCTCGGAGCTTATCGTCAGGAAGGCAGCCCTTCCCAGAGAACTTTTCCAACAGTACAGAGCTTTTTTGACACAAGCTCATCAGTGATCCCAACGAGGCCGGGTCCATGGTCAAGTTGCTCGCTGCTCTGTGGCTATGCCACCAGAGCATGATTGTGAAAATACCGACCAGTACCAGTAAGCCTTCGACAATGGCTGAGAATAGTCTGCTAACGATGATCCCGTGTTGCTCAAAGTCCACAACACCCTTAGTTAGGGGTTCGGTTGATGAGCTGGTAAGCATACGACGTAGCGCAATAGAAAAAAGCATTTTATGTGTCTTGTTGAAACCATCCCCTAAAAATTCGTTGTTCTGAAACGGTTCAAGAGTTGTCACATTCTGGAGCCCAATGGCGAAGCCCACCAGGGGTGATGATGGCCACTTTATAGCCAGATGCTTGACTTGGTGATGCTGTTCAAGCAGATGACCAAAAGGATAATCTCGCCTGACCTCAAGTTCAACGGACGAGACGCCAGCCCCTAAGAGGTATTCGAAAGCTGATGAGTTGAATTCTGTCGAAGAGAGTTGCTCGCGGGGCCCGGTTGGCACGATGGAGTCTTCGAGGGGCCTCTTGGCGACAGAAGAAACAGTGGCGTTGACCTGCTGCTTGAAGTAATTCGTTTCGCAAAAAGAGGCGCTAACGTCGTTTACACGCGCCCAAATGGCCAAAAATTGATGCTGTGCAGCTTTGGAGCACGTCTGTGAAAGCCAGTAGTCGGCCCAGGCGCTGTTATGGTAGCCAATGTATTGCATCTTATAGATTTGACCGCCGCTTGGCGTTGCGCCGTAAGGGACAATATCGCTCGCATTGCAGCCGCGGCCGTCGAGGAAATCGTAATAAGGTCCGCGAGGAGCAAATTGGGCTGGCCAACAATCAATTTGAGTCCAGTACTTAGTTGTAGAGCCAGTCCAGTTAGTTGACGCCGTTTGTGTGACATTGCTGTCAACCGTAAAAGGCAAAAGCGTGTAATCAGCAGTGGTGTACGGAGGATAGGTTTGGTTGAGCCAAGTGATGGCATAGCCTTCATTTAGAATAGACTGATCCATTGGCAGGATCTGTTCCGATGCTGGCCGGGGCACTTCAGGTGTGAACACAGTTGTCGTTCTTCGGACATCTACCGGTCCGGTACCGAGTATCGCGCTCTGGAGGGGAGTTATGAGCCAGAAGATCATTACAGTGACAGTACCGCCATAGAACACGGCCCAATGGCTATTGGAGTGTTAACGCAGTATTCTAGGAGCGTTGTGTTGGGTCCTTACCGTCTCTTGGCCGCTCTCAGAGGAACGAAAGCAATGAAGTCGTAAGGGTAGTCTAGGAATATCGACCGTTCCGCCGTTGCGCCTTCCGGCCTTGACATTTCCAGCCATGGCTGTATCCGCTTGACGTCCAAGTCAATCCAACTCCAAAGCAAGCTGTATATAACGGCAACGATTGTAGGCAGAAAGAGGTAACAAAAGTTCGCGAAGGCCGGTATATCATCCGCTGATTTGGAGAGGGCGAGTCCTCCCTTGACCCGGCTTTGATATGCCAGGACCTCTATGATAATCGCAAGGAGGAAGGATGCAAAAGCGAAAGAAAAGAGAACGGGAGCGCTCAATGTCAGCGGCTTCCATCCGTGCTTGTGGACTGTCGGAAAATATTAGTTCGTGGTATTCGATTCGCGGGGTTTATTAATGTGCGGTACGACCTGTATCCAGACTGCATTCACTGTCTTTAGACCTTTGAAGCAGTAAGGAAATTGAAGCCTCTCGACTCTGCTTCTTAGCTGAACCATCTGGGCCGCCAAGAAGCAGGGTCTCATGGACTTCGGGTACCTTGAAGCCCATTGCCTAGAGAGCGTCGATACGAAGGATCTCGGTCGTTGGGGGTAAAGGGTAGAAGTGTTGCTCAACAGTGACAGAGCTCTGTTGTCATCTAGCACGACTCGCCATTCGTAGACACCAAAGAATCTCCCTCGAGAATGAAGCCCAAAAGAAAAACCGTAAAAGCAAGCCCCAGCAACAAAAGAGAGAGGACGAGGGAGAGAGATGAAGAACTCGAGTCGGGCAGCATCTAATAATGGGAGAGAGGCTGTATCCGACAGCTTGGGTCGTCGAAACAGGCTAAGAGATAGACCTGCTACCAACAGCATATTATTCAGCGCGGTAACTCGCCGATGCGCATAGTTCGAGCCGTTCCCGTCGATGAATGTCACCCTGCACCAACAGAGAGTGACTCTGCCCGGGATTCCTGCACCAGCTCGGTTCTATAGGTGGGCCGTAGCCGTGGGTACTGAGGAATGAGAAGCGATGGCTAAGCGCCGGAGACGATCGAGGGGGCGGCCCGGGAGGGGACATGACTGGGGGCCGAAAACGCCTTGCCAGTGCTGTGGCCCTTCAACAGTCCAACAGTGACGATCTAAGATCTTGATATTTTATGGCATAACTTTTACCTCTTTTCATGACGATTCCCTACATTTCGCTGAACAGGTTTCTTAGGCTTGTATTGCTTGAGCTGAGTGAAATCGATGCAAAAGAGGTAAAGTGAACTGAGCGAAGGACTATGCAGGGATATTGGGTTCGCATCAAGCCTTCAGGATTAGCCGCCGGGCGGTAAAGCCTGATTGGAGCGCTGGGAACCGAGACGGGTCAACAGTACGGTCCCATTGACGAGCTCCACCACACCTTAATTTAGACATCCGCCAACCTTTGGCCCTCTTTTAACATCAGCTCATACCTAGATCTATTACTAACACACTCAAAAAGACCAGCGCCTTGCAGCACCAGACTAATTGTGGATAATGGCTGCATAAATTTTATGCGCTCCGTATGGTCCTGTTGTGATTGTCGTTCGACAGGCGCATGTACAGCTCAATGCCAGGAGCATTGCATGCAAAAACCTGTGGCGGTTCCAGAAGGGCATCATCCAAGCACATCGATTGTCAGGTCTGCTTTTGAAAAGGCCATGGACATGATGGCAACACTATCTGCGAATCCAATTCCATAGGTAAAGAACCTAGTATTAAAGATTGTTGCGGGGTCTATAAATATCCTTAGATCTCTTGTTGTATGTCCATAATGATCCTTTCTACCAAAAATTGTGTTGAGGAGTATTGATAGAAGAGATGGACTTGGAACCGGCTGTAACAACTACCACCGTTGCTTGAACCACACAAAAAAAACTTCAGAAATGAGTCTCTGCCTCTCTTTGACACCATGTACTTGATCTCATCAAAGGTCTTTCTAATCCTTAAACCAGTTATTGGACTTGGTGTGGATAAAGGAATAGATGATTCGGGGGTTCTTCCAATGGTGTCTTCTGGTTATTTGAGGGCCTTTGTCATGAATTCTCAAGAAACATCGCTGAGAGCCGAATAGACTCTTAGTTACCTATGACTCGAAGCCAGGCCTAGAAAATGATAGCAGAACGCTTTCAACCCAATGTTATCACCCCTTTCAACCCATTTCATTTGGAATCAGCTGTTGGTCTTGTGAAATTAACATCCCCTATGTATCATTCGGCACCTATCTCCACAGTGTTTCCGGGGGAAAGGGGGCTAACTGCTGGCTTCTCGTCGAGATCTTCATCGCTGATGAAGGTTCTGAGAGCCTTCAATGCTATTTCAAGCTTATTTACCGTGAGAAGCTCTGCTCTACCTCTGAACCAACGGGCCTTCTCGAAAGAACTTCCAATCAAGGATGAAAATGGCTTACAGCGCCGTGGGGTACTCTGGTGGTATACGGAAAGTGACCTGAGGACGAAGCAGAGCAGGGAACAGCGTGAAGTCCCTCAAGCTGTCTGAATCTGCTATCTTTATTTATGCGGAGTTGTCCGGCGTAAACCATCTACCCGATCTAATCACGTCAATAAAGCTAAACACACACATGGAACGCTGTTGCTGTTTTCGTATCGGGGGGGAAACAAGCACTGAAACCCGTCATGGACAAGAATTCTGCAACTGGTCCTGTTACCGATACGAATCTAGGCAAAATTTGGGGGCGGAAGGCTTGTGGTATCAGAATGTCGTTGTTATAAGATTTCCCGGACCTGACGATACTTCCAGACCTGTACTACCCTGATGGTCAAGAATGCTATCACGCGTGCTCCACGTAAATAATTGATGGCCATTGGGTATCGAGAGGTTGTGGAAGCAGGCAAGTGGAAATTGGGAACAAGTGTAGCCATCCCCGGAAGTCTTGACTGTAGGCTATAGACTTTACGGAAGAGACGTTACTGCCTCCTTTTTATCTGGACCGGACGAGTGGCTCACCACGCCCGAATACCGAAATCCCCGGTCTGCAGAGCTTCAGGATAGCTAATTTGGGTAGTGACCAGGCCAGACTGCAGACATGTTCATTCACCAAGCATCGGAACAATTCAGAGTTGACAGTAGGTGATCTATAACAACCGCAGCCTTGGGACTGCACCCATCTACAGCCCGATGATAGCACATAAAGTACACGTATTCTACACTTTTTGGCAGCACCCCACGTCCTTTCCCCATTCTCATTTCCAGCTCTCGCTGCGTTATATCCTGGTCTGGCCTCGCCGTCAAGACCACTGCATCTCGCCTCTCTTCCACCAACCCCTCCGAGCCCCTTATCTCCTGACCAGGCCCTTGGCGTTGGAGTAGCCCTTGATGCGCTTGGTGTACTTCCACAGGTGCTTGTACTTGGGACCCTGGCGCTTGGCCTCCCAACCGCGGGGCTTCTTGGGCTCCTTGAGCGAGTATACGCGCGTCGGGCGGAACTCGACGTCAGCGCCCGGCACGCCGGCGCGCTCCATCACACCAGCGGTGTTCTCGTCCCAGATGGTACGGAAGAGGTTGAATCCAACAGGGTTGAGGCGGAACTTGTCGCGGAAGGACTTGAGGGAGAAGCCGTCGCGGGCGGAGTACAGCTCCTTAAGCGCGGCGGTGTCGAGTGTCTGGCCGGGGGCCTGCTCGAGGACGAAGATGGAGAGGCGGTGGTAAGGGGCGCCCTTTTGCGAGAAAGCGGGCAGGTAGGGAACCGCGAGCTGGGAGGGGTCGCGGACCTTGGAGAGCGGGACGGAGGTGGATGTCGGCGAAAGGGGCACATTGGCGGCGAGGAAGTGGCAGCGCTTGCCGAAGCCGTCGTTCTCGACCGAGGGCACGTCCGAGTCCATGATGACAATGGAGACAAGGCGCTCACCAGCCGTGAAGGGGGTTACACGCAGGCGCGGGGGCACCTCGGTGATGTTGCTGGGGAGGATCTTGCCCGGGGGCACCTTGGAGCGGCGGAAGAAGAGCTGGACGTCGTAGGTGGGGACCAGCTTCGGGAGGACGTCGGGGACGATGTTGAACTGGGCGATACGCTGCTCGATCATCTTGGCCTCGTAGGCGCGCCACTTGCGCTCGGCGAGAAAGCGGTAGATGGGCTTGTTCATGTCGCCTATGCGGGAGATCCGTCAGCACTCAATGGGGAAAACAAAGCACAGGAGCCTATCAGGGGTCGTACCGAGACCGTCCTCAAACCGCCTCTTCACGGCGGGATCGTTGATATCCGCCAAAATCTTGAGCCTTTCGACATGATGGCGCAAGCTGGCCAGCTTCATCTGACGCATCCTCTCTCCTCCCTTGACCTTGTCTCCCTCTGTGGCCTCCAGCCTCTTGATCTTCTCCGTCTCCGCCACGATTGCGCGCAGCTTCTCCTGGCGATCGGCGGCGAGGATCTTGCGCGCCTCTTGGAAGGCCTGGTAGGGCAGCTGCTCGAAGGGCAGGTTTGGGCTCGTGCGGATGGCGTAGCGGCGACGTCTCGAACCGACGGGCGGCGTGCCGGCCTTCCAGAGGTCCTTCTCGGCCCACGGCGCGACGGCCGTGTTGGGGTCGAGCTCGATGGGGTCCACGGTCTCGGGTCGCTCGCGCGACACCTTGTACACTTCGGCGGCCGGGGCAGGCGTCGTCGACAGGCTCCTTCGTAACGGCAGCGGCGTGGCTATGCTGTTCAGGCATCGCCGCAGCGGCCGAATGGCCTGCCTACACGACGATGACATTTTCGGCTGTGTGGAAAAAGGGGCGGGGTGGAGCGGGTGGTGGTTTGGGCGGGTTGTGGTACTGAATCCCAACCAAAGCTCAGAAGGAGGTTTTTCACCAGACACTGAGCTTCACGAGTCTGGTTTGCCAGTCTCCATAATTATTTTTCCCATTTTCCAATTGAACGACGGAATATCCCGCCCCGGACAGGGGTCTGGGAGAGCTCTCCCATTGAGAAAGCGTGCACGAGAGGTACGTACCTTGCATTTAGCGTCGTCTGATTGGCAGCTTCGTTCGACAGGACGGGCCAAATTTTCGTGTTTCCTGCGCAAAGGGTGCGGCTCCCAATCCCTTCGACGAAGAGCAGCCCATCTACCATTGCGAAATCCAACGACTCCAATCCCTCCCGTTGCGACGTCCCCCATACAAAATGGCCGGCAAGGGAGTCAGGAGCCTCAGCGAGGCCATGAGGGGCCTGTCCCTTTCGTCGACGTGCAGAGCGGCGAACCCTGCCACGTCGTTCGTCGGCTCATCGAGCTTTACGAGATCAATGGCCACCGAGGCGCCATACCCGGGCATCACGACATCCGCCTACGCTACCCCTAAGACGACGGAACCTTGGACACCAAGTATGTCTACCTCGATATCGGATGCAATATTTCCACGGAGCGATTGCTAACTGGAGCCCCCTGCATAGCCACCTCCGTCCCCGTCACGATCCACGCCTTCCCGACCCTCGAGCCCCGATCCCTCGAGTCCTACTCGACGAAGCACCTCTATCTGCCCCTCCGTCGCGACCTCCTCCATCTCGCCGTCGTCTTCGAGGGTGACGCCACCCGCCAGGGTACGGCCAGCACCAAAACCCGTTGGGAGGTTCGCGGATCGCACAGAAAGATACACCCGCAAAAGGGTACCGGCCGCGCCCGCGCAGGAACGAAGCAGTCGCCCATCCGCCGCGGTGGAGGTGTCTCCCACGGCCCTAAGCCGCGCGACTTCAGCACCCGCCTCAACCGCAAGGTGTACGACGTGGCCTGGCGCACCGCCCTCAGCTACCGCTACCGCCGCGGCCAGCTCGTCGTCTGCGAGGACGGCATGGAGCTGCCGCTGCCGCAGGACTTCACAAAGCTTGCCGACGCCGGCGCTGTAGGACCTCAAATTGCCGATGAGTACCGCCGCAAGTGGATGATGCAGGTCCTCGAGGCCAACGAGTGGGGCAAGGCTCACGGCCGGACGCTGTTCGTCACCAACGGCGAGAGGCCACGGCTGTGGGACACCATGGAGGCCGCGGGAGACCAGGGCAGGTGCCTGGACGTCAACGAGGTGGACGTCAAGGATTTGCTGGAGGACGGGCGTGTGGTTATCGAGCGGGCGGCGCTCAGGGAGATGATTGAGTCGCACCAGAGCGACCTGGTGACCAAGATCTTCGTCAACGGTGCTCTGAAGTCCGGTCCGACAATTGGTGAGCCGCTCATTCAATAAGCGTTTGCTGAGCGGTTGACGAAAAGGGGGAAAGAAAAGAAATCTGTGGATATCTGTAACACCAATCAAAGAGGAGTAGCGATTGTCTGATTAGAGGGCGCCTCTCCGGCTTGTAGCAATATAAGGCACACAATGCCATTCACCATGTAATCTGTTGAATGCTGAACAGCATGTTATTGCATGAGTAAACCCGCTGTGTTGTCCCAGCCTGGGCGTCTGTCCTCTCGTAATGCCCAACGGCACCAACAATGGGCATTCTTATCAAGGCTGAGTCACTACGTGTCGGCCAGTTAACACCAAACACGACTAGGTTAAGATCATCAGGATCAGTCCGCAGCTTCAACCTCAGCCCTTAAGTCTGCAAAATCAACCTGGCGTCCTCCGTGCTTTTCATAACTACGACAAGCAACGTAAGCCATGCACAAAATTGCTATGCAAAAACCAAAACAAAAGTTTCGATAAAAAAATTAAAAAATTAAAAAAATTCAATCTGACGGAATACCACTTCGTGTTATGGGGCGCTGAGCGTCCAACTTGCCTCCATTCGGAAATTCTATACGCCATTTCGCGTCAGAGGTTGGCAGAAACCGGGTACCTCGCCCGGTCTAACGCAGGGAGGAACCCACCCACACAGAGGTGCGCCCAGCCAGCGACCGACTCGCGACGCCGCCTCGGAATTTTCCACCGATCCCCCGTGCTTTGCAGAGATACAATCGTTCAAATTCGACCCGTTGGTTCGATCGATGACCACCGCAGCTAAGCTTGGGGGAATTCTGCAGCAGAATTACTGCTTCGTCGTCCACCTCTCTCTCATAAACGGTCCTACGACCATTAGGCTCTCTCACCCGAGATCCGGACCTGAATCTGCTCCATAACTTCCGTCGGGTAAAGTGGGGGGAGCTTGCCTTACACGGCCCGGAAAGGCGTCCCGGGCACTGCGATGGGCTGATCGCGTCCATGCGCGCTCTACGTCATTGCGCGCATGGCCTTGTCCTTGGTCTCCCGCCCTCGTCCCGTCGTTCGCCGTCGACGCATCTCAGCTCGCGAGTCCATATTAGAGTTTCCAGTATCCAAGGCGAGGGACGTTGTGCTAGACCATTGCACTGCATTCCTCGTGAGAAATGGCACGCGGCCCCGGGGGGATCGCCTCAACGCCCGTCGTCTTCTCTATGTTTTAAAAGCTGCTCAGCGAGTGCTGCAAGTTGCTGAGGTAGTCCCCGCCTTTCTTTTGTTGTTTGACAAGCTCTCATCTCGAAGCTCTCGGTTTCCCCCATCCATACTGGTGAGAGGTAGAGAGGGAGCCTCAGCGGTCGGGGTTCTTTTCTCGCGAGGCCCTGCATGGCTATCCCACATCCTTGCCTCCCGCACCACAATGATGCCTGTATGTAGCAACGAAGCGACGCAGTAACACGCACATTCACACACACCTTACCCATGGCTAGTCAGTCCTAATGAGTTTGCTGATTCAAGCATCTCATCCCGCCTCGCCGAGTCCCCCCTCTTCTTTGTCTCAGCAAGTATTGGCCAATAACCACCCCAGGAGCAACCACCGAACAGTGGGCCGTTAGGATGGAATGCCTTTTTGACTTCTTCCTCGAAAAGAGACCTTCGTGGTAAGCCTCCAGGGAAAAGGGAGGGGGGACACAACTCAGAGTACCTTACCTTGACCTGCCATCCCGACGTTAAGGGTCCTGTGACGTAGATATTGTGTCGTCGGCTTAAGCCCGGTGGCCGCTCCTCCTCAACTACACCTCCTACTCCCCACGTGTCGTGTGCTTCTCTTTGCGTCCTCCGTATTTCCACTTTCTTCTTTTCAGTTTCCACGCAGGAGCATCTTTCCGCTTCCTGTCCATGCACCTGGGTCACCTCTCCGTACCGATCTGGTTCGGAAGACCGCCGACTCCCGCCCGCCGTCTCCCCTCACGGGCGACCGTCCCTGTGTGAATGGGGTCAGGGGGGAGGAGGAAAAACGAGGAGGCAAGGCCCGTACTGACGTAGTGCAGGCCAAGCTTTCCGCCAGGGGGAGCTACAACACCTTGACGTAGCTTGGAACAACCTCACCCCCCCTCAAGTTCTCTCTCCCTTTTAATCTCGACGTTTTGCCATCAGCGCAGCTTGCGCGCTTGGAGTTGTTCCTCTCCCCCCCCCTCCTTTTCACCTTACAACCATCCATTGTCTGAACTCTCAGGACTTCCTTCCAAGGCTTTTTCCCCGCGACGTACCTGCTTGACCACCAGCACTTAGCCCGTAACCAGCAACCCCACCCATGGTGACTGAGATGAGTTGCTCGTCTCCTATAGGGTCCCAGATCTTCGAAGGACTCCCATAGCTGGCACAAGTCATCCATACCATCGCCACCGCCGCCACAGGCCCTTCTGAGAACGTCAACATTGTCAGCCACAAACTCGCCGAGTCATCGTCGTCGCGTCTATACCCCTGATGGAAGCCCCTCGTCGAAGCTCTGGATCACAACAGCCACGAGCCCGCTCGCAGGAACCAGGATCCTACCGTATTTTCTCCGCCTTTCCATGTCGAGATGTTGACCGTCATCCCTTCGCCATTAGCCACCAACGCTCTTCCTCGATACGGAACCCCAACCGGGCCCTCGAGTGACAGCATGGCTGTTCCGCTTGTGTCTTTTCATATTGATGAATTGCAGCTCAAGATCGCAATACTACACATGACCGCTCTGGTTGCCAGCCGCAATGCTTCCTTGGACGACGGATCCGACCTAACGATTACGTTTAGCAAGCCAGTCTGTCTCTTCCTATACCGAGAGGTGAAAAATGACACCCTTTGCTTCCTCACGATCACGACCCTCCCGGCTCAATGGAACGAAGTCCTCTTGCGAAGATGTCTAGTGTATCTCAGCTGTGAGAACAGAGGCATGCCGGTTGGTTTCGATCTATTTTCTTTCTGTATGAGCCGGAACGACAGCATCCTGGTCCCTCAAGACGGGAGACCAGAATCAGCCAGAAACATTGGGCAACATGACAAGTACCTTGCACTCGGTCAAGGTCGGGTACCGTCTGGTAAGCGGCCATCAATTCACTTTGTCCTTTGATTTCGTTGTTTTGTCTATCGGATTCCATCTTGCTAGTCCAGCTTGTGGAACTTGTTACCTCGATGTGTGCAGCCCGAACATCCCCAGGGTATCAGGTCGCAGTTCCAGCCCTGACCTTTCGGCTGGCTTCTCAAAAAATCCCGGCTAGTAATCATTATCACCCCTCCCAAGTCATTGCTCATAGCAAGGCTATGTCCCGAAACCCACACCCCAACTCCGAATCTGGAAATTCACGATGGTGAATGCGTCAAAATAATGCAGCGATATGGCTCGCCCAACCTTCATGGCACAAGCCTAGCTTCTCATGCTGGCTCATTGCCCACCAAGGCGCTCTACGCCTGTTCGAACGCACTGTCTGGCATGTGGTCGTAGTTGATGTCCGCACTGCTGCCGGACCTCGAAGACATGCTTGTCATTGCGCGCTCAGAGCGTGCAGGAGAAATTAGAGACATTTGGCCTGACATCGGTCAACATCTCTAACCTCGCGGAGGGGGGGCTTGCTTACTGTCAATCGACGGCCTATAGCTTCCCCCATGCCGAGTGGTCTATCACCAACCATCCGGCTAGCGTCAAGACTCTGCTTCTTGACGCGCTCAGCACTGATTTGGACAAATCGTCGAGCCTCATTCTCAAGCCATAAGTTAATGTTTGGGTCATGGCAGTTGGCGTGGGACATGAGCTCGTTTTTCATGCGCGTAACCTCATCCACCAATCCATTGTATTCCATCTGTAGTTGTGCGTGTTGGTTTTCCAGCCCCTGCTTGGTTTCCTGCAAGTCCGAGACCCATTCCTTCTTTTTCTGACGACACTTGCTTGCCGCGATCCGGTTCCTCTCCAAGAACTTGTCTCGTTTTCCGTGGTTCTCGTCTTGCGCGGGGGCCTTGCTCTTCCTTCCCTTCTTCCTCGGTGGGCTGGCTTCGGATGGATCAGTCGTCCTGCTCGACTTGGAAGTCTGTGTTTGCATTGAGTTATTTGAATCGGCTCTAGTGCTCGACTGGGAAGTCGACGCAGAGGGGACATGCAGCAGCGTCGGCCGGTCTTCAGGATCTTCTTGTTTCGTGGTGTATTGCGTCTGGTAATTGTGACCGTACAGCGCTGGCGGGTTCCCGACCAGTGGTCCCCAGGCACTTGACATGGACATAAAAGCCGACGGATCGTGCGACATGATGCTGGGTGACTCGATGTCTTCCGGTGGAGTGAAATGGAAAGAATCTGGATTTAGTGTCCGAGGTTGATCGCTGGGGAATTCATCGTTAGTTGGTGTTGCAACATCAACCGCATCATTAAAGAAGCTGGGAGGGGTATTCATTGTCCAGGACAGGGAGCTCGCCGGGTTTGGAACCAGTGTTAATCTCAAAGTTCTGTTGGATTGAATCGTACCGGCTGCTGGCAAAGTTGGCTGGTCCAAGGGGGAACCGTAAACGGTTTGTCGGGCGCTAATTTACCCAGTGCGTAAACACTTCACGTGGTTTGCGCTTGTGGTAAAGACTCAGGCTGCTCGCTGCGTTCGCTGTAGAAGTCGACAAATACCGGAAAAGGTTCCGTGTCTGGCAGCAATCTTACTGGGGTACTCGGAGAGGAGTCGGCAAAGCACAGTCGAGATGCTGTGTCTTGAAAGAGCGGAAGACCGAAGAAGCGCACGACGAGGAGTCTGCTGGAGTCTCGGACCGATCTCGACGCCTCCGTATACTTGGCGATGGATTAGACCTGAGCTTCGTCGCGCAGCAGATTGCCTAGTGAGAATACGGGGCGAGTTGTGGAATGGAGTGTTGGGTGCTTTGCTCAGGCCAGATGGGGAGTGTAGGTCCCCGTTGCTTTGAAAAGGCGTGCAGGAATGAGCTTCAATGCCCATTGGTCAGCATTTTCGACAGGACCATTAGGAAAGGGTAGGCTTGTACGAGAGAAGGCAGTCTGAGGATTTGGGAGGATCAAAACTGTGACGGTTCGATGATGCGGATGGGCGTGGACGACTCAGTGGAGTCCCCTTACAGGCCATTATCAAGAGTAACTGAGAATATCTTGATAATTGCGCAGATACGGAGGGCCGCCGACAGATGGGGCAACGTGGGTAGTGGCACAGGCATAGGGCGAAGTGCGGGCGGGTGCCGGGGGGGCTTAGGGGCTTTAGGAGGGATGGAGCAACAACCTCAGAAGCGTGTGTTGCATGGGAACATCGCCACGGCTGGGTGCAAACGGCAAGGCCGGAAGAGGGCTGGTGTGACGGGACGTTGCGAGATGTTGCAGAGGAATGAGGTGGTGCTGCGGGGTTCTCGAATGAAGGTTTGAAATCTGCTTACATTTGGTTACAGACAGCTGATCGTGCACCAGCTGGGTATGGATACTGGCGATGATCTTGAAAGCTACCGAGCCGGACGAGTACGAGGACGCAATACGATCGAAGCAAGCGTCGCCGTACAACCAGATGTTGCTCGACAGAAACACGGTAGTGAGATGGCAACAGGCCCGCTTCAGTGCCTGCGATTGCCCGTGAATATCCGGAGCCTGCTATGGTGTACTTGGTGCTTTGGTAAAAGGGTCAAACGGCCGGATAAGTTGAAGATATGATTGATGCTGCTGGCTTTGCAGAGCCTGGTCGCGATTCGAAACGGCTGCCAGTGTTACGGCAGACTACAGTACCTATGTCGTCGTGTTGCCGGGTGCAGTGAGAAGAGGACGCGGCTACCTTTGGCCATGAGCCAGGCAAGGATGTTCTGGTGGTGGTGGTGTGGATACTGCTAAGATAGTGCTTGCAGGAGTATGGAGCTGTTGCAGTCGGTCGCAGTCGTGGTCGCGCAAGGGCAGTGTCGACGGGAGAGCAAGGATAGGTGGAAAGTCGCCAACTAAGACGATCAAAGCAGGGTCGGATAGATGTCTGAGACGAGGAGAAAAGGCATGGAAAACGAAGGGAATGTTGCGCCGGAAATACGAGTGGCGTACTGCGGTGACGAAGCTGGCAGCATCGGAGTGTGCTCCGATGATCGATGAGATTGATTCAGGAAAGTAGCAAGCCGTGACGAGTTCTTAGTAGGATTGGTCCCAATGGAGCTGGCGGAAGCCGATGCGGTGGGTAGGCGGAGGCTCGGTGATGCCTAGGTACGATGGGAGGGAGGGGGACGAGATGAAGTTGTCGGGAAAGGTGGTGAATATGAGTTGGGGTGGGAAAGTAAAGGAAGAAGCTTCCTCAACCGCGTTATCTGACCTACCCCGTTTCTGCTTCCCATTGACAGCGTAGCTCGCCCACGCAAAACCTTCTGTTATGCTACCAGATCTGAAAGTCAGGTAGGTAGCCAGCTACCTAATGCAGGTAGTATAGAGGAGAGCAGGTGGGCGGGCAGGTACGTGAGGAGTGTTTTGGACCGGTCCCTCGGCAGGAAGGAGCAAAAGCCTCAGCTCATACCTCACAGCTCGCACAAAAAGGTAGCTGGAGGGGTGCGTGTGCTCGTTCGTGTATTGTGCAGCGACACCTCCATTTCCATCACCTCCCATTCCTCAGCACCAACGACGCACCTTACTGCCTTTGGTATTGGCTGCAAGAGACGGACAGGATAGCGGGGTATCACCTCGCGCTACCTGACTTTGTGTCTCTCAAGCTGCACAGCACGCAGCATGTGTCTTATTCTCAAAGCACTAGACTAGACAGCACCCAAGCTCCATGCACACCTGAAAAGGGGAGAGGGGAGGTGAGGGGTGAGGTGAGGGAGAGAGGTACATAGATACATAGTAGAAACCATGGCAGAGCGTGGTGGTAGGATGTTGGAGACTGTCTCGAAATTCGAGGTACTTACTCCGTACCTTGTTCCGTGCTTCCCTCCCAGCTCGGGCAGGATTGCCTGCCCCCGGATACCCTGCCGTTTCTCCCCTTCCGGGTTCACCGTGGGGCCGCTCTGCCTTAGGAGCTCAGAAGTTGGCAGGAAGTTGGAACGCTACGACCAAATCCCTGTCTTTTCGGACGAAACTCTCCGGGGCTGCCATTCTGCTTCCTGCGTACGCTGTGGGTGGTTGTTTCCCTCGTCTTTGCTTTCAACCTTTCCTCTCTTCTCGACAAACCGACACCCGGTACAGAGAGTGCGGCAATCCAGACTGGCACCCAACTGGCTTACTGACATCTGACCGAATTACTCCCGCTCTGAGAGGTACTATACACGCCTGTCGGCGTTGGTTCGATGCGTCTGTGTTAGTTAAGGTTCAAGCTGTTGTGGCCCGTTGACCGCGGAAAAGGGCACATACTACATAGTATGTACACACACACACACACACACATCCAGCGACGCTAGCGGACGAGCCTGTGCGTCGCGCGTTGTCTCATCTTAGTTCCTCGCAATAAAGCCCTTCGAATTCCAGACGAGAATGAGATTTTGCCTTACCCATGGAGCCCAATTCTTGAACACTAGCTAGGTGGGTGAGCACAGGCCAGAGGAGCGACAGAGGGGAGGAGCATAGACAGCTCAAATTCAGGCTGTTCGGTGTGAAAATGGAAGTTCAGGGAGTCGACTGGGGGGTGGGGGTTAGATGTAACACCGGTAATGTACCGTCCGGGAACCAATGGAAGCATGGCGCTGAACGATCCGGGAGCCAGTGGTATCTCCTTCTGCTTCAGCCCCTCCCATTGGTAGTGACGATGCTGCTCTTCCCTGTTGTCTGCATCCGCGTCGGCGTCTGCGTGGCACGGCAGGCAGGCGCAGGGCGTCCTGGGAAGGAGCAGGGGAAGCTCGGGAGCTACTAGGTGGGGAAGATGAGGGGCACTCAATTGTGTCAAAACAGTTCACGACAGAATCAGCTTGGCAGACTGGCCAGAACACTAGGTACGGTATAGTAAGCTTCTCACTTCACGTTTACGGGTCAGCACCCAGCCTTTTATCCTTTTATCAACCCGCACTCGCCTCCCTTCTTCCCGTGGAACTACACAGCACACATACGGCTGTGATCTCACGGTTTCTGCGCATTTTGCTGCAGCTGGTTTCTGTCCGGGGCCGGCCTCTTGCTGCTACCTTGGCGAATGCACTTCCGTGCGTTCCCACTGTCGGCTCCACGGCGAGGCTCTCCATAGGGAACCCCGCCAGATTCCGGCAGGCAGCCCGACGGCTGATTCTAGTGAGTTGCTGCGGGACCTGAAGTCTTCCAGTATACCGATTAGCGTCCATACCGTATGGAGCGAACGATGGCTTGTTAGTTGATAGATGAGTATCGACCGATGCACACTGATGAGATGAGATTACATGCGGCAGGATTAAATACGTTAGCTTGGGTACATGCTAACGGTTCAAGGCATACGATCAGCAGGCCTCAGTACATTTGATTATAGTGGTAGTCTCTGCGAAAATCAAGTACTCACCTTAACTCCATTAAATGACCCATAGACATTATGTTTCTCTCTCACTGATTATTATGAGTACATGTGGCGTTTTAGATGGAGCTTCAAGTCCACTGCGTTGGACTAATGATATCTTTCGAGATCTAGCTGTGGACCGTTTCTCGCGAATTAACGTATTTAATCCTGCCGCATGTACGATGGCTAGATCGCCGATGGCATGCAAACGACTCATTGCGTGATGGCGGCATGCCTAGATTTGTGGTCCAGTTCCTTACATATTTTGAGGCGCCCCTCTCTACCTGTCACGGCCCGAGACGAACGAGGCAACTCCAAGCCTCATCGTACCCACAACCTCACCTTGCTGCAAATTGACACTATCTAAGTTCTGCTCCGGCCAAGAACGGCACCGGTAAATACTTCGCCCGTCGAGCGGGAACGCAATCACGAACGACACCGAAGCATACCACACTCCCCAAACGAATCCAGACATTTTGCCCATCCAATTTTTGACCGTCGACAACCACAACATCGTCATGCAAAAGTAGGCAAGCAGCTCGTGCAGGTCGAAGTTTCTAGAAGCCGTTATATCCCGTCATGATCGCCTATCTGACCCCGGTCGAGTTCCTTGCCTATACTGGGCACTCCCTGCACCATGTTGCCGCCAACAATGGACCCTGAAATTGTTACCCAACCGCCTCGTCTTTCCGGTACCCGGCGCCTGATCCAGCCTCCCAGGTCGTCCTACACGATGAAAGGTAGGATGATAAGATATACATCGCGGTCGTCTTGTCTCCGCGATTGTATTGTGTGCTAGCGTGGCATGGTAAGCAACAAGTACTACAGATTGTCTACAC